CCTCTGCGGAGATCGTGCGTGTCGAGTGCGCGAAATGCAGGCGAGAGCGCGATTTGTCCCGGTCCGGGACAACCCTCTGCGGGGATCGTGCGTGTCGAATGCGCGAAGTGCGATTTGTCCCGGTCGCGGGCAACGCTCTGCGGAGATCGTGCGTGTCGAGTGCGCGAGATGCAGGCGAGAGTGCGTTTTGGCCCGGTGGGGCAACCCTCTGCGGGGATCGTGCGTTGGGAACTGGGGACTTTGTAGTGCAACTTTAGCACGCGGAGCAATCTGTGGAGCTGGAAGATGAGAACTGGCGACTTTCTAGTACAACTTTAGCGCGCGGAGTATCTGGGGAGCTGGAAGATGAGAACTGGCGACTTTGTAGTACAACTTTAGTACGCGGAGTATCTGGGGAGCTGGAAGATGAGAACTGGCAACTTTGTAGTACAACTTTAGTACGCGGAGTATCTGGGGAGCTGGAAGATGAGAACTGGCGACTTTGTAGTACAACTTTAGTACGCGGAGCAATCTGTGGAGCTGGAAGCTGAGAACTGGCGACTTGAGCTGGAAGATGAGAACTGGCGACTTTGTAGTGCAACTTTAGTACGCGGAGTATCTGGGAGCTGGAAGATGAGAACTGGCGACTTTCTAGCACAACTTTAGTACGCGGAGCAATCTGTGGAGCTGGAAGCTGAGAACTGGCGACTTTGTAGTACAACTTGAGTACGCGGAGTATCAGGGGAGCTGGAAGATGAGAACTGGCGACTTTGTAGTGCAACTTTAGTATGCTGAGCAAGCTGTGGAGCTGGAAGCTGAGAACTGGCGACTTTGTAGTACAACTTTAGTACGCGGATGAGTCATCTCTCGCGGCTGAGTCATCTCTCGCGCCACCCGGCTCTCTTGAGAGGTTGACCAATTTTAGCTACTTTGCTTACTCATAAGTGGCTGCCACAAAAGAGTCATCGTGACGTTAGTATGTGTGCACTTCACCTTAAGACAAACGATGTTCGCTTGGAATACACGAGTCGCTTGTCATGATCGTGACGTCGTTTACTCTCAGGTCGCCCTGTTCGTGCAAACTTCAGTGTGAAGTGTACGTTCTTCAGTTCTATTTGAACCTCTGCAGCGTTGTGCTTGCACAACTAAGGTTGACGTTGCGCTGCCGTTGCATCGACGCATCTACGTCTACACCCCCTCACCTCTCTACATTTACATCTTCACACGCTCACATCCGCAGATCTACCTCTCCACCTCACCACACCCACACATCTGCACATCTATATCACATCTGTACATCCACTACAGATCTATATCACACCTGCACATTCACACTGTCACTCCTTCACATCCACCCTCTCTTTCTCTCTTTCTATACATCTTTTCGACAGTGCTGGACAATTACATGTCTCGCTCTCGGGCCAACCGTCGTCTAGTTTCAAGCTCCCTAAAGAGATGCTCTCTGAAAAGCTCTCTTCACTGGCAAGAATAAGCAGCTTGCCTTTATTTTTCTTGTTGCTGTTAGGTTGGAGGCCATTGTTTTTTTTGCACAAAGATGTCAACCTTTCTCTCACACCCTGCCTCTCGTTGCCAGTCTCGTTGCCGCTCAAGCGGCCCAAGACTTCGCAGCCCACATCGACATAGGCGTAACCGGAGGCCAAACGTGTTACGGTGCCTTCAAAGGCAAAGGTTTGAGAAAGCAAGATGAGCAAGTCAGCACAAGTACTGTATATATCCTGTGCCTGGATGCAAGTTACTGGCTATCCTCTTCACGTGGAAAACCCAAGAGAGCCCTACTTTCCGTCTTGTTTTCTGGATACGGCAGTCAGGCCAACCGAGTTCTCCTTCCAGAATGCTTCTAGCCTTTTGCAAGACACTCACCCAGCGGGCCTAGAATGGGAGTAACTCCATCAATAGGCATCGCATGAAGTGGAGTGCCCTTGATGGGTCTTGGCTCCAAACCCAAGTAAATGCGACCTGTAAAGCCTCAGTTAACTGCTTCGGATCTTTAAGATCTTTGGACTTTCTTTGGGTCAAGACAAATCCGAACAAAGCTCCTAGGTCCTAGGTGGCCTTTTGGAGAAACCTCGCAAGCCTTTCGTAAAAAACTACAGATCAAGAAGAAATTCCCGCATGAGATGAACTTGAAAGCAGTCCTTCTGATTTTGGAGGAATTCATGACGGTGCAAAGGGCTCTGAACTTGCTGAACGACAGCTGCGCAAGCCGTGTCAAACGCTCCAAGCAACGGCTCTTGTTCCACACGTAGACCGTTGTCTTGGCGCCCAGCGGCAACTTCTCCTCGATGTTCTCGAGTTTGCAGAGTAAGGCCTAAGTCACATCACCCAAGCAAACAAATAAGCCATTGAGATTCTTTTGTCCTTAGACCTTTCTTTCTTTAATTTCTTTATGTTTCTTCACGACTCCAGCAATGCCATCAAACATGCATTATGCCCACAAATGCAACAAGAACACCCCCGCGCAAGGACTGGACCAGTTTCATAATTGGTGTTCCAGCATGTCTTATGGAAACCAGAAATTGTCTGAGACCTTTGACAGTGTGGAGGCCATCGCTACTAGGGTGGAAGCCATTGCTGGTAGGTTGGAGGCCATCGCTACTGGTAATATGTTTTACTGTCACCAAGTCCTTCGAGCTCACAGTCCTCTCACCAAGTTTCTGCTGTCGGTTTGGGTGTCATCGACACTTGTGGCAATTCCTCACCCGCCATCAAGAGCCCTAGCCAGCCGAACGCCGAGAGGTGTCTTTCATCCTTTCATCTCGCTCACTTGTGAAACGAATAATAACAAAGGAAGAAAGAACCGATTTAACGGTCTGAAGAAGGACTAAAGAAGAAAAAAGAAAAGAACGCACAAAGACCAGTCAATCCACCTACGCCGAACGCTAGAGGTGAGCTTCATCATATTTCATCTCTCTCACTTGACAATTTTCATCACTTTTTGACAAGGCTTTCCATGCCTGGAGCTTCGCAGCCAATGTCGACGAGCGTGCCCCAGTCAGTCCGGTTCAACACGACGCCTGCATTCCGTCGAAGCGTTGTGAATATCCAGTCGTCCGTTCTTTCCTAAATTTCAAGGTGTGATTTCTTCGAACTCTGTCGATGATCCTGGCTACCCCATAGATGGCAAAAGCAGGAAAGTACTAAGTCATGTCAGTTACCCATGTCCAGTTTGCTGTAACTTCTGGAAGTTTTCCCGGATTCCACAACCTTCGTAGGGTGTCCATCCATCTGCACACAGCGCACTCAACTGCTCGCGCGGCACAGGGCGCCGCTGCATAGAGGCCACCAGCAAGCCGCTGAAGGTCTGCTTTGATTGAATGTAAACTTCAAGCCTCAAAAAGCTGCAGCGGAAGCAAATAGCAGTATGAAAAGAAGAAGAAGAAGAAGAAGAAGAAGAAGAAGAAGAAGTAATGATAGTAGTCTTATGGTAGCAGTAGTAGTAGCAGTAGTAGTAGTTGTTGTTGTTGTGCTAGCTAGTAGTAGGAGGAGTGCTCGGTGTGGGAGCAGCAGTGGCAGTGGCTGTCTATTCCTCCAAAACCAACTTCATGGCAAAGCGTCGAGCTGGGGAGGTCGCCGTAGCCTTGCAACTCTGCCTCTGGGAGGATAGCCAGCCTCAGACATCTTTAGAAAGCGATTAGCATTTTTGTATATCAGGAAACTGTTTTGACGATTCCTGAAAAAGGCTTTTCAAGCAGTATTGATACCACATGACTCAAAAAAGATCGATCAGCCAGATGTTCTTCAGGTCTGAAGACCTCCCCAAACGTCTCTCTACCGTCGGGTTGGGTGAGCCAAGTTCCACCGTTCCCCCCGATCTGGTGCCAGACGCGACCTCCTCACGACCCTCGAGCTTCGGACTCCAAGTGGTTGATCATTGACATCACGTCTTCATTGGTCTTTCCCATCTTGAGACACAATACTTTCTGTGTTGCCTTCCGTTTCATATTCTTCTCAAGTAGAGTCGCCCCTCCTCTGAATCTTAAAAGGCCAACCAACTCACCAACATGAACTCAGTGGCTCTTCGCACCCAATGTCAAGCGAGGCACCATAGCCTTCATCACCTCAGATCAGATCGCTTGAGACCCCTGGAGACCTCGGGATGGCTTCCAATCTTGGGCCCCTAGGCCAAACAAGAGGATGTTTCTGTCCTTTCACAGGACGGGAACAACACACACACACAAGCACACCAAGAAAGATTCAAAGTTCTTGGCAATTACCTTTCCAGGCCAAAGTTTGGCATTGCCTTATGTTGTGGCCAAACCATCGCAACATGCTGCTTGCTTTGCCGGCTCTCTTTCATCCCAGTTGCGTTGCTTGAGCTTGGCCTGATAGGGCGTTTGCCTCAGAGCAATCCTTTACCTGAACCTGAATGGAGCGATGGCTTAGGTCTCAAAAAGCAGCTGCAGACCACAGCTAGGTAGCTCGCACCGGTCTCTTTTCTTTTTTCCGTTGGTCAGAGTGCTGGAACAGGGTCTGGCACCCTCCTGAAGAAGAGTAGCGATGCCTGGGATGGGAGCCCGGCAGAGATAACGGCAATGTTGGGATGCCTGGATGCCTTTCACTGAATGGACCCAAAGGCATGCTGAGTATGGTGTCAACTTGCTTGGCCCTCCCAAAATCGAGTCATGTTGCTAGCCTCATGGCACCGTTGCTTAGATTGTTGAAGGTTGAGTTAAAGTAGAACACATGAGAAAATGAATCGAAGGGAAGCTGCCAGCCAACACAAGAGACCGCAAGCTCCAAGAAAGCCGATGAGCCAGGTGGTGGAAAATCGATTCAGGATCACCACCATGGCACCGGGACCAGCAGCCTGAGCATCAAACAGAAAAGGAACGCATAAACCAAATACAGTACTAATTGGTCGTGTTTGTTTGTTTTTTAAACTTCTTCTTCGTGTTGACTTGATTCTTTCAGCCTGCAGGGCATCAATAATCATGAAGAGACCAGTGGTGAAGATTGAACCAAGGACCATGCGCCAAGGGCCCTTTGCTACCAGCTTTGTGACCATGAAGTTGATTCGAAGTGCCAGCGGAAAAACCAGGGCAGTCAAGACAGGAATCAACATGTTGATGGCTGCGTTCCCGACAAAGTACCGAGCCATCGAAGCGTAACCTTCACTGGAGGCGGAGACGCGACAATCCGTGTTCCCATCACAACCAAAGACTTCGATGAGACCCAAGCCCCAAATGGGTAGACCGAACACAACCAGCAGCTTGAAAGGCATATCAGCGCCCTCTTGGCCCATCAAGCTCATCACACTCTCGCGCAAAGGACCTCTTACACAATCATTGAAGTTGTCCATGGCCATGGCTTGTGCTAGAAAAGATCTTTCGGATTTGGAAGTCTCCGTTGGTTCGTTTTCTCCCAAAGTCAATGGAGTGACAGCTGTTGTCCGATCCAAATCCTCGTTTGAATCCTCCGAAGTCTCAGCTATACATCTTTCTTCAACTGAACTGAGATCCAAATCCTCCTCGAAGAGGTCCAGGACTTGCCGCTGGAGAACCACACGATCGGTCTCCAAGGTACATTGAGCATTCCGGAAGTCGAAGGATTCCATCTGGTCCAACATGAGCTTGTGCCCATCAATTTTCCCAAAGCAAAACCAGGCGGTTGGGATGGCCACCACAAAACATGTCCAGAGTGGTGCAAATTCGAAATTGAACCAAGATACCTCAGGTTTTGGGTTCTGAGTTCACGAAGGCAAAAAGAACAATATTGAACACTTTTCCCGGATCAAAGGCATCAAACAATGGCGAATGAGCAAGATTCCTTTCTTGTTAGTGATGTTGCTGGTTTAGTGCTGATTCTTTATGTAGTGCTTGAAAACATGTTGAGGTTGGTGTTGTTCTTATGGCAGTATCTAGAATGCGGGTAACAAGACCTTCTTCCAACGTGTATGGATCATATCAAAAACCTGCAAGTCTGAGTCCAGGATGCAAAGAGTGAAGCTCTTGAGTGTGAATCCACCATTGGCTTTGTTCCATCGTAGGTTTCAGCCTTGCGAACACAGAACTTTCGCTCCATGAGACGGGAACGGCAACTCTCACCTTGCGGACATTGCCCTGAATCTTGTTACTACTAGTAAGGCACCTGTTACTACTAGCGTGGCACTTGTTTCTACTAGCTTCTTATTACTACTAGTAAGGCACTTGTTACTAGTAGCGATGCACTTGTTACTAGTAGCTTCTTGTTACTAGTAGTAAGGCCAGGAGCCCCTAGGAGCTTCTTGTTACTAGTAGGATAAATGTCCTAGACAGGTTTTGACATCCAATCAGCTCCACACTTGATTCCTTCACTTCTTGGATCACATGATTTACCCTCTTTTCTTTGCATGCAACGAGGACGAAGGTCGCGGCCACCGAGGACAAGGTCCAAAGCGGCGCCCAGGTTGGCACGAAGTGCATCTCCCGTAGCTCGCCACTTGAGTTTGAGGTCAAGGCAGACACCGCCAGCTCCTCACGCCACGATGTCGGCGGGGAGGCTAGGCTTGGGCTTGGGCTTGGGCAGTTCTTCCACATGGGTATGCCAAGCAGCCAAGCAAGATCAAGCTCATCTACATTTACATATGACTACGCTGGTTTTTCTTTGCCTGAACAAAGCAAGTATGGCAACTATCGGTTGGCAATACAGGGGCAATCCTTTATTCTGAGCACCCAAAGAAAAAGGTCTAAAGCAAAAACGGATGGAAAGAAACGTCCAATTCCAAGACTTCAAACAGCCGAGCCACGTAGTTGCACCACAAGCGATCGAAGTACCTCTCCTTGGATATCTCAGCACTCCGCGAGGGATCAAAAAGTGATGAACACGCCTGAGCAAAGCCTTCTCTTCCAAGCTTTACTTTCTTCTCTATCAGTATGGGGGAGATGTACATAAACATATTGTGAATTCCAGGACATCAGGAAATCCAAGTCTCATCCCACAAGATCAACATGTGCGTGGAGTTTGCCACAAAGGCTGGAATTGCTTGGAGTATCGCTCCTTTCTCCAATGCGTTCGATTGGTTCACACAAACGCAGTCGAACCAAAAGCGCCTGCCGGAGAGCAAATGGCCAAAAAGGTAGGTGATGAGAAACACAGCCATCGGAACATGTAGTAGAGTGCCATACAGCACCGGTTGACATTCCCGTGCTACGCTGCTAAGGCCTCCTGCATATGCAATAAGCATGAAGGACATCAAAATACATGTGAAGCCCCACATGCAGATTGCCAAATTCAAATTGAAATAATGAGAAATCGCCAGGATCTTCTTCCAGCGTGGACAGGACCACGAATGACTCACAAAATAATCAACACTTGAGACGTGGGGTAGCGAGCTGTACAATGCGGCTTGTTCTTGGCCATCTCGAGTCCAAGCCAAATTGAGCAAAACATCGGAAGCCGATGCAGACTTGAAAATCCCACGCTGCTCAGCCGCCGCAGCTTGCTGTCGAATGATGTGCATGAGCAATCATTCCAGGACACAGCAGACCGGGATTGTTTGTGGTCTGAGCCAAAGACTGCCATTGATCAAACATCTCCATGTCAATAGATGGAAGATACGAGCATGCTTCTACAATTCCACACTTGTGCAAACCAGAAAGATTGCAGTGCATTGTGCATCTTATCGACTTCTCAAACACACATTAATGCATCTTTGCTTGGGAGGGTTTGCTACAACCTCTATTGTTTTTCCTGAACCATGTTTGTTTGCTCTTGTCTGGGAAACCCGCAACTGATCTCTTGCATCTTTCCCCGGCCATTCGAGAAACACCCTGTGTTTTGTCTCTTGGTCAACCCGTCAGCCCTGCACCAAGCTGCCCATCTGCCACCACCTCCTTCAGTGTCAGCAGCGGCTGCACCAAGGGCCGCCGCGACAGCCAAACCCGACGGCTCCGATGCAAACGTCGCACCGCATAGACCGTGAGCTCCTTTTTGCAAAACGAAGCGAAGATCTGAAAACAGCAAAAAACAACGAGAGCCTGCCGCCAGGACCTCTAGAACCCACCAGTCTTGTTACTAGTAGCGACGCACTTAGCTACTAGTAGCGTCCTTGCTCCTCGTAGCGATGCACCTTTATTGATGGTTTTGGGCCTTGAAGAGTCTGCTGCCAAAAGTCGCTGCCAATCTCCAGGTCATCCACATCCTGCAAGGTGCCACACACGTCCTGAAAAATTGCAATTGACAGCGCGGACAACGACGTCCTTGCCAATCTTCAAGGTTTGGATCCCCCCCGACACTTGGGTTGGCCCAGCTCATCACGTTTCTTCATCACTTTTTGCGTTTTGGGTCAACTTGAACACACCGAAAGGGTCAAGGTGGTCGACTTAGGGCCAAGTGTCAAAACCAAAGTCTATGACCGCAACGCCCTGCGCCAAGCTCCGCACAATGCCCTGGTAGGGTGTGAGCCTTGGTGGGGACTTGGCAGAAGGGAAAAACATACCTAGTGGAATAGGCTGGAAAGTGCAGGGGAAAACATGGCAGAAAAGGACATGGTGACATAGTAGCACCGCAAGCAAGCTGTATGTAGTTGCGAGAAGAATGTCAGAGAAACCAATTTGAAAGCAACGGAAGGGAAAGGAAAGCGTCGGACGCGTGCAAATTCCAAACCGAAGGGGAACTTTTGGGCCAAAAGGACTAAAGGGGCCCAGGTCTTCACTCGCTCATCGACTCATGTTTGACACATCGGGAGCGAAACCAGTCACCATTTCCATCTCCAACGATCTTTGGGCCCAGTGCTTTGAACACATGTGAATGACACATGCGACATCCATTGAAGCTTCGTTTGAAGCCTGATAGAAGCCCAAGAACCCTAATGCACGCACGTATGCAAACACAACTGCCAAACATTGTCTGACACTCTTGCTTCACGCTCTTGAAAGACACTCTTCAAAGACATTCTGGCACTCTTGCATGTCAATCTGCTCATCCACAATGTGTTCAGCTTCACGAATGTCTCCAAGCAAATGTCAGAGAGTACATGCCAGTTCGTGGAACTGTCGAAGGATGACTTGAACTCTCTTCACTGTGCTTGTAGTACTTTGTTGCTTGCTGTTCTCCTCCGTCATCACGAGCGTGAACTCGATCATCTTTAGGTTCTGTGGAATCCATTGCACCTGAACTCGAACTGCCGTGTCCTTCTGGTGCTTCACCAACTTTCTGCTTCTCAGAACAAAGCAAGACTGAGCGCCTAGCTGTGGCGTAATAACAGTTTGGCTGATCGAAAGACCTGGGCAAAAGAGACAGGTAGTGGGCAAAGCTAAAGCTTCACGGTTTGAAACGGCAAAGGTAAAGCTTCATGGTTTGAAACGATACAGCGTGAAAATCTGAACGGGTGTCCGGAACTTGCTCTTTCGATGGCTCCGGGCAATCATTTTTGGACACCATGCGTGGCACATCTATGGCGTTACGAGGCCTGATCCTTGGGCGCAAGCTCTGACCCTTAGAAGACTTGTCAGGCAAACGGCCCCTCCTAAGTGTTTGCAACAAGCACCGAAAGGTTCAAAGCTTGTGTCTTGAGATGGCCTGCGTTGCCAAAAAACGGTTGCACGTTCATCTGGACAGGTGTCCGGAAATTCCTTTTTCAATGCCTCTGGGCAACCATTTCTGGACACCATGCAAGGCTAAGCTTAGGGTGCAACCTGTGACCCTTAGAACACTTGTCAGGCAAACGGCCCTTTCAAAGGGTTTCCAACAGGCACCGAAGGGTTCAAGCCTTTTGTCTTTTGATGGTCTTCGTCACCCAAAAACGGTTGCGCGTTCATTTGGACAGAAAGAATTTCAGGTGATCAGGGCAGAAATTCATTGGATTAGGGTTTGGCTTTTGTTTGCTTTATGATTCTCTTTGATTAGGGTTTGCTTGTATTTTTGAGGTCATCCTTATTAGGTTGGAGGCCGTCGCTATTAGGTTGGAGGCCGTCACTATTAGGTGAGAGCGCCGCCAACACACCCCCACCCAACTCAACACCGCCGTGGCGGCGTCAGAGTGCATGTTGCCGGCTCCAGCGCCAGCTGGCCGCTCAGCGCGTGTAGCTTCTGCGCAATCGATGCCTTGACTGCTTCGAAACATGGTTTACTGGTAGAGACACCATCGTTTCCCTTTGACTAGGCTCGATCACAGGCTGCCTGACAGCATCGCCCAGTTCTTTAGCAGTAGGCCTCCACACCGTCGGCCGTGCGCAAGAACACATGAGATTGCAATCTGTTGCGGTATAGTCTCCTAGCCAGCAGTTGGTCGTTTTGGCCTTCAGTCACAGGCCACTGGCAGCGTACAAGTGCGCAATGGCGATCGCTCAAGCGAGTTTGCCCAGGTGTCAGGATACAAGCGCTGTCCGTTTGCTCTTCATTTGAAGTTTGGCAATCTCATGTTGCCTCTTTCAGCACTTCAGCAATGATACTGTTGGCAGCTCTGTCTCGGGCATGTCTATCGTTGCACAGGCTTCGATGAAACCTCGTGCGCAGATGGGCTCCAGCGGAAGGCTAGAATATTGATTTCAAACACCTTAGTCCAGTTTTCTCAAAACCTTGTTCATCCAAATTCTGGCTCTGTAGCAGCAGTCACCTATTGTCAATGAGCCTAGGCCTAGCCTAGTTGCATCAGCACGAAGATTGAATCCCCGACTTCAGGTGGAGGCTAAGAAACAAAAACGCACAAAGAAGTATAAACGTGCAAGCCTGAAACGCAACTTTTTTGCATAGTTTTACGTCCTAACTGGCCCTGGTTCCCAAACAACAAAATTACCCAAACGAGGGCCACAATGCAAATAGCACCCACCAAGCCAATTGAATTTTGAGTCACGTTGTCCTCTTGATGTGTTGTCAAGAAGCATTTTCGCGAATTTGCTGTCTTTTTGCACTGTGGCGAGATAAAAGCAAAGGCAGTCGGGCCGCAAAATCAGCAAACACCCTCGTCCACACATCAGCAAAACGGAAAAATCGCAAAATTTGGTTTCGCACATTTTGTATTTTCTATTTTTGTGGGTCGCGCATTCTTGTTTCTTTTTTGGCAGGTCGTATTTTTGCGCATTTTTTGTATCTTTTTAGTGGGTTGTAATTTTTGTACGTTTTTTGTCTTTTTAAACAATGTAAATTCCGGGTTGTATTTTCTTGTGTTTTTGTATTTTTGGAAAGCACGAAAAAAGGTCCAATTTTTTCGTGTGTTTAAAACATACAAACTTTCAGCCACGAGCTACGAACCGGCGAAGCCCACCGGCGAATTTTTTGACAACCAGCGAAACGTGGTCAGGCTACCCGACAAGCACGACAGGCTGCTCCAGAAGACAAGGGGGGCAGCTTCCCATCCCACCCATTCAATGCGTATCAAGTGGCAATTTACGTGAATATTGCTTGCGGTTTTGCTCGTTTTTGGGAGTTGTATTCTTGAAAAATGCAAAAATCAAAAGTGTGTTGTAAAAATTACAACTGGTGAATTTGTATTTTCCAGTCTTTTTTTTGCTTTTGTTAATACTTTTACTTATTTCAGTGCTTACAGGCCGTACCTGGAACCGGGGAACCAACACGAACAGAGTCTCAGCGCTGCTGCAGCCACAGAAGTCCGTCTTCAGCTTGTGGTAGAAGTACAGCGACATGCGATCCATCCAGCGAACCGGTGACCCGTGAGAGGCGACCTCACCCACCACCAAAACGTTTGAACAGAGTATCATTGGTTCCACTTGACATGGCGTCAGGTTGTGATCAGGCACTCTAATGGATGCATTGGCAGCAAACCTTTCCAACCTTTACCAACATCGCTTTCCATTACCTCACCTTTTGGGTCAAATTGTTTTGGACCCTGGAATGCGATTTTCCCGAGAAGAAGGAACTCACCACAATATGGATTGCCCCTGCCAAATCTCGATCTGCAACTGTAATCGGCAATCAAAAATCTTTCAAACTTGCGTCGGTTTTTGGGTTCTTGAGACTCTGCTGCGCATTTTTTGCATACAGCTTTTCAATACATGTTTGCGCCTGTTTGCAAACCAGCCACCTCTGCTATGCTCCGCTCAAAAAAAGGCTTCGCACACTTGCTCAAGCTGCTTGAATACAAGCGTTTGCTTGGCACGGCAAAGCCGAGCTCCCAGCCCGTCATTGCAGTCTTTAAAGTAGGCCAAATACGTTCGGCACAGTATCAGGGATGACAGGAGCATGAGGCAATAGAGCTTCCTGTTCTGACTTGCTGGAAACGCACCCGCTGTTTTTAGGATGGGGCAACAATACACGTCGAACTTAGTTGCCCATTGCGGAGTTCAGCCAAACTGAGGGGGAACTCCGATTTCCGAGATAAGAAGACCCGAACTTCACGCAGGTCAAGCGTCAAGCCCTCAAGCTTGCTTTTCTCCCCAGCACACCCGTAAAGAAGACGGACGGCCAAGAAGAGTACGGGCCCACCGGCCTTGGCCCTTTGAAGACTTGTCAGGTCAGAAACCTTTTTCTAAGACATGAATCATGCGGCAGGAGACAAAGGGTGGTTTGAGCAAACCTTCGATTGCTAAGCTTGCAGTATGGGCTCTGGCCCGTAGAACACTTGTCAAGTCAAAAGTTGCTTCGAAGGATATGGAACAGGAACCGAGGGATTCATTTTAGGGTTAGTAGACAAGCTCTGCCAGATATAGTCTTAGATGGCACGCGTTGCTGAAAACCCCTGCTTACGTCTTACGTTGCGGGGCCTGGTTGTTGGAACGCTTTTCAGGTCAAAAGCTCTGTCTA